GTTCGGGCTCAGTGCGGGCTCAGTGCGGGCTCAGTGCGGGCTCTGTGCGGGCTCAGTGCGGGCTCTGTTCGGGCTCAGTGCGGGCTCTGTTCGGGCTCTGTTCGGGCTCAGTGCGGGCTCAGTGCGGGCTCTGTGCGGGCTCAGTGCGGGCTCTGTTCGGGCTCAGTGCGGGCTCAGTGCGGGCTCTGTTCGGGCTCAGGGCGGGCTCAGTGCGGGCTCTGTCCCTGTTCTGTCCCCTCTCTGTCCCCGCTCTGTCCCCGCTCTGTTCCCGCTCTGTGCCCGCTCTGTCCCCGCTCTGTACCCGCTCTGTTCCCGGTTCTGTCCCCGCTCTCTCCCCGCTCTGTTCGGGGCTCTGTCCCCGCTCTGTCCCCGCTCTGTTCGGTGCCGGGGCTGTCCCCGCTCTGTCCCTGAGCTCAGGCAGGAGGCACAAATCACCCTCGGGCAGCGAGCTCAGGGCTCTGTCCGGGAATGGCACAGTTCCCGGGGGAATGGCACAATTCCACCGGGAAAGGGGCAAACCTGGCACCCTCTGGAGCCTCCCCCTCCTCAATCCCTCATCGCCCCCTTTGCAGGGGCAGCAGCCTCCAGAACCGCCCCAAACCCCGAGCTCTGCGGGCCTGAGGCGTTCCACAAGCACAAATGTGGAGTGGGAGAGAAGTTTGTGCTGCAAACGCGTGTGAAACGCGGGGATTTCAGGCACGGGGTCCGGGCTGGCGCTGGAATTCGATCTGATAACGCTGCAGAGGGAAACAATGAGAACGGAGGGAGTTTTGAAAGGGAGGAAGCTGCAAAGCCCYCCTCGCCTCCCCGGCCATCTGCATTCCTTCCCCGCGAAGCAGGAGCGGGGATTTCGCCCTCTCCCATCTCCGGAGATCCGAAAAGGGGAGAATTTATCAAGTTCCATCTCAGGCACTTCATCTGCGCTGCTGCAGGAGAGGCAGAGTGGCAGCTGRGGCCGGAGATGTTCGATATCAGCACCTTCGGGATGAAATCCAGGACAGCTCCGCCGATTATTTATCATTGTCTCGCTCCTGGAGCACAAACAATGGGGATAATCAGTATCTCCCTGGTAAATCTCCATGATTTATGTGCTTTTAGCGTGACAGGCCAATTTCGCAGGTCATGTGCCGCTGGTGCGCGCAGCCAGAGGGGATTTTCGGGAGAATGGTGTTTATTCCTGGTGGAAAAGGCGAGGAGGGGTTGGAGGAACATCTGCCAGGAGCGAGGGAGGGAGGGCTGGCGCTGCCAGGCCGGGCTGAGCCGATGCTATCGCTGTAAACTCGGAGTGCGAGCTGGCAGCGGGATTGAGGGCAGGACGTGACTTCGTGGCTGATCCTGAGCCTGAAATGAGGATTTATCCGTCCATGGCGGGGGAATGGGAACGTGGGTGGGGAATGCTGAGAAATGAGGGTTTGAGCGCTGGGGTGGCACTGGGG